TTTATTGGTCAGGTGTGTTGGACACACGAGGAATTTGACTCAGGTACATCAGCTCTCAATGTGCAAACAGTAAACCAGCATAAGGCTGTGTAATATAACAAAGATAAGCAGTATTAACATCAACAACCAGTGCAAACAATGTAGAATAAGCAGTATAAACAGACAGTAACAATACAGACAACAAAGGAATGTTCTTTGTAATGAGATAAGTAGGGATTAAAAGCTATTTCTCAGTGTGCATGTACATATCCCCATGAAAGGAGGAAGTAAACAGTAAACCAGCATAAGGCATCAGACAGCTGTAGTCAAAATCACAGTGAAAATCAAAGCTCCTGGACAGTCTGTGGTGGTGCTTGGTGCTGAGAGATGCACCAGTACATAATGTCCCATAGGTGCTCAGTCAGGGGAACATGAGGCCCAGTCAATGGCATCAGTGCCATCATCACCCAGGAACTGCCTACAGACTCTGGCCACATGAGACCGGGCATGTGAGCGCAGGTCGTACTAGAGGACGACATGCTGCCCTCATGGAGTCGGTTTCTGACAGTTTGTTCAGAAACTTGGACACTATTTTTAACCAGGAACTCACAGAGACGAAACAGACCACTTGGATATATAAAAAATAGCCGTGCTGGTTTATTCAAAGAATCACAGGTAAAATTAACATTACACGTCCAGGCATCTTCCACCTGCACGCAGGCAGCATAAAGTATGAAAGACCCTGAACCATAATGCCTATACAATATTATCCCTTGGTTGGGCTAGCCCATACTACCCAGCAACGTCAAACCGTGACGTCACCTGATATGCCAGCTTTGCAGCTGACCATAACAATAGTCAAAACATGAATAGCCAGTGATGTGTATTAATAGAGTATTAAAATATGACGACACGTAGTGATCGTTTAAAAGTTGTACTGAACATCTTCATTACAAAGATTTCTGCATTTCTTTGTTTGGATCTGATTAGAGCAGCTTTAAAGAGAATCTTAACAGTAGATCATCACATTTCATACATCAGCCTACATACATATTTTTATTTGTGGAGGTATTTCAAGTGTGGTTAAGAGTTTATGTATAGTTAATATGAAATCAAGCAATTCAAAACTGGGAATGTGGACTTTAGACTTTAGTATAAGACAAGAAAGAGAAAGCCTTGTAAACCCTCATGTCCTTCTCCAAAGGTTTCCAAATGCCCCTCAGGCTGCAGACTCCAAGGCCTGATCTCACAGATGGAGAGCGACATGGAAAAGAAACTGTGGAAGGTGTGTGAGACAGTGAAGGTGTACGAGGACACAGCGGACGAGTCCATGACGGCCATGACTCACATGTACAACTCTAACCGGAAGGTCCTAGTCAGCAGGCACGGTAAGCCCTCGGTAACCGTGTTTAGTGTTCTGGACTAAATAAAGACACAGGTATTAAAGCTGTATATCGTTTTTAGTGTCAGAGCTGAAGTTTGTGGAACACGCAGAAGCACTGACCGAGAAGCTCACATCACTGCGTGAGCAATCATTGCATCTGGAGCAGGAACTCAAGGATCTGCACAGCAGTGTCCAGAAACAGGTGGAGGACTTGTATCGAACAGAGGTGAGCTGTGCTCGCCATTTCGCTGACAGCTGACGTCACGAACAACAATACTAATGTTGGCACCTGGTACTTAAAATGCATCATGTTTGACACCAAGCCCTTCTCTGATTCTCACTCTTCTTCCTACGAGGAATGGGCTGTTTTTATTTTTGTTTTGCAGTCATTAAGTGAATATGCCAATAACATCCAGGTTTATGTTTCTGTCCTGCTCGATTGTTCTAAAACCTGATCACAGTTTGTTTGGATTCTTCCTCAGTGTGAACAATCCATTATCCTGGTTAGGAGAAGGCCACGCCCCTGTGGCCTGTGTGTAAAATCAACAGGCTAGAAAAATCAGTAATTCTGCTGTAAATCTCAGAATATGAGGCTGAGAAGTGAGAATCTCTGGTCCAGTCCTGTGCTGGTTATTCCAGGACAGATATCCATAGCTGGTCCATTACACTCCTGGTGCACAGTGATTCCTTGTAGTATTTGGCTGTACCTTATGGTTCTTTGCTGCAGTTTGTACTTGTTTGTGCTATCTGATCTTGCTTCACTGGGGTCCTTTGTGTTAGTTTGTTGTGTTGGCACTAACAGGGTATTAATACCTCGCCCTCTGTTTCCGTCCCCAGGTAGATGTTGACATGAAGCTGCGAACCTGCTATGGGTCCTGCCGCTCAGCACGGCCATTCTCTGTCGGCCACCCCAGCTATCAGATGCTTCAAACTGACATGGACCAGATGGACCAGACTCTCAACCAGAGAAGCAAGGCATCCATGCCTCCAGAAAACATCCCGCATATCAAACTGCAGCCTGTAGATGTAGGCCCGGCACCATCTGCAGAATACAAGTCCATCCCGACAGTTCAGAGAGAGCTGCTGACCCAGTTTGAGGACCTCATTCAGAATCAGTTAGTTCTGGAGGAAGCTACAGATGTGGAGCCTCTCTACTGAGGAAGCTGTCAGTAAATACAACTACTACATGGTGGTTTGGACTTTTTCCAACATATTTCATGTGAACATACATGATGCTACAGATTCCTGTATCTTCTGTTGTATCGCTGTGTTGTCACTGGGACTGTAACATTTTAAAGATGAGGCGTTATGAACCTCTGCATGTTGGTGAATGCTCTTTACCTCTATCATTCAAATGGTCAAGGTCACCTCCATTGTGTCAGTTTTTATTTTTCACATTTAGGTAGCTCTAAATGAGGTTTTAAAAAGTCACCACAAACAAAGAATGTATGGAAATTTCATATAACCCAGACCTTTTTCAGGGATCGAGTGAACTTCCATCTTTTCTGGAACTAAACAAAGCTTCGACAGTTGATGCAACAGTTCCTACAGGTCCCACCTGTTGTTGATGACTTAAAACAACAGCTTCTCTCTGTGTCACTACACCCTCTGAAGCATCATGTGGAAACAGGCCACTACAGAAGGAAGTCAGGCCTTTCAGGGTTTCCTACAGTGGGGTCAGTGGACTGTGAGGAGGGAGCCTGAGATACACACTGAAAATAAAACATACATAAAGTACCAGAAGTAAAAGTACTCATTATGCAGAAAGGCCCATTTAACATAAATTAATATCATATTACTGGGTTATAATTAAAATATTGTGTTCATGTCATGTAATCCCGTAGCTGGTAAAAGGAGAGCTAGTGTTAACTATCTTATCTACTGATCATTTGAATTACTGCTGTTACACTATGTATTTCTTTACTAATGTGATACTGAAAAGTAACTAAAGTTATCAAATAGTTAGAGTGGACTACAAAGTACAAGATTTGTCTCTAGAATGTAGTGAAGCGAAGTATGAAGCAGCATAACATGAAAACACTCAGGTAAAGCTGCCTTAAATTTGCATTTAAAGTCCCCATGGGTGCTCATTTTGCTCATTTTCAGCCATTTAATGTTTAATCTCGGGTACCTCCCAATAGTCTCAAATTATTTCATAATGATAAAAGCAGAGAGCCTCTTCCTAAAAATGAGAGGATAATTCATGACTATGCACAACTCCTGTTGGCAGTGTTGTAAAAAGTGGACAGCACAAAGAACCACGACAGCATTAATTCATCTGAACTTCTCCTCCACAGGTAGCTATACAATAGTATATGTAGATGTGTTTGCCTACCAAGCCAGTTGGGGCGGCCTGAGCAAATGATATTATTAATTATGTGTCAGGTCACCAAATATCTGCTCTTTGCTTGAGTGAGGATACAGGGATGCTTTGTGTTTAGTGTAGTGTTCTACTGCGTGTTGTTCTGCTCCACAGCCACTAGGGACACTACTACTGTAACTGCTAGGGTATATCCCGTGGGTTTGCAGGCACAGTACTGGTTCCTGTTTTGTCATATTAGTAGCTGTTAAATCCAAGCCACCTGCTGTGATTGGCTGTCCTCCAAACAGAGTGGGGACATTTTCTGATACATGTCTGGTTTTACAGGTTAGGCTTGGAGACCAGCGTTCCAGATAACGGTCTCTAAAAAAGCATTGTGTGTGTATTTTACAATGGGACTGGAACGCCTCTTTGGGGCCAGGTTGTGGTTACTGAGCTGCTATAAGGAGGCTCACCCATTTTTTGACATATCATCAAGTGCTCAGTGACCTTTGTGAACCCTCTGGCAGTTAGCTTTGGACCATTTAAGATTATTCATTAGACTTTATATATGAAAATATAATTTCAGTAGTTTCACTTACAGTTTAACCTGCAGGGCAGTCTATTAAACCTAACATGCTTTTCTTTTCTAGAGTCTAGAAGCACAGTCACCACTAGCACAGACACAAGGTATGTTCCTCAATGTGTTTATTGAGTAGCGGAGGACGTCAGCTCGTCCTGGTAGCCACGCTGAAGACTTCGCACATAACAACAGGCAGATCACAGCACACTCACTCACAACCACAGCCTCTGTGTGTACATGTGTGTCCACCACAGGTCACTGCTAAAATGAAAGGAAAAACTTGAAAAGCAGTTTAATGTTGCTGTTCTTGTGATAATTTGGCACTAAACTATGTTGAATACTTGTTTCTTTTATTTTGGCAGCTTCCTGTATGTGTTATGCTGAAACCCTGGGACCAGGCTAACTGGAGGTGAAGAAAGGCCTGATCTTCATGCTGATGGCCTTGAGGGAGTACCAGCTGCCCTTCCAGTTCATCCACACAACGCCGTCATCGGTGCCGTGCTTGGCCATTTGGCGAGTGTAGGCTCCACCCATGTAGTATCGGCCATTGGGATTGGCAGAGTGGCAGCGATTGTACCACCAGCCGCCTCCATCCTCCCTGGAGCACTGTTTGGTAGGATCTCCAGGGACCCTGGTCAAAGCAAACAAGGACAGAATGGTGTGAGGTACCTGAAGACTTGGACTTAAAAAAATGGCTGCATGGAAACAAATACTCCTAAAATCACACCTACCACTTGTCGTTGTCTCTGTCGAAGGTGCTGAACATCATGCCGGTATGTATCGTCATGGTGCGGTTTACACCAAAGAGCTGCAAGGCTCCATCCAGCAAACAGTTGCCAGCGGTACCAGAGTAACCATCAACCGCCAGCATATAGTTGGACGTGTCTGACTGGACGGTGAACTGGCGATACTGGGCGTGGACCTAAATAACAATGGACACCACCTGGGTTTGACTCTAAACTCAGAGAAGTGAAAACTCTTAACATTATAAGTCCAATTTTGAGGGTGTTTACTGATTACAAACCACATCTTAGCAAACAAAAACATCTAAGAGTCAGTGCCAATTATGAGTTTTATATGAATACATTAAGAATACCAATGCTTTAAATTGAATTTTAAAAAAGTTGTTACTAATCAGTAACAAATGCCCAAATTAATGTCAGAATGAAAACAAACAGTGTTAGATTATCGTTACTCAGTGGTGCTGGGTTATTTAAGATCCAGAAGGTCATCTGTTTGGAGTACTCCTTCAGGTTCACTCAAAAAGCAGCGAATTCTTACATTTTAGAATCAGAGGTGTTTGGCTTGAAAAATGACAGTTATCAATAGTTAGACATTTTCTATTGATAAAGTACCAATTTCCACTGTAGCTGGAAACCCTGAGGACTCACCTTGGCTCCTGTCCAGTCCTGCATCTGAATAAGAACCTCAGTGGGGTACATCTTGGTCAGCTGACTAATGCGGTCATTGCCCAACCAGTATTCACCTGTCATGTGATGAAGAAGACGGGGACATTAGTCAGCCACATGTCGCTGGTGGTCATGAGTATACAGGAGACAGCTGAAATTAGGAAAGTCCTAAGACAAGATGCCTTACCAGGAGTCTCACAGTGACCTTTGCCGCCATCGAAGGCAATGTTGCCGAAGCCACGTCGATATTCGTCCCAGCGTCGGCCGAAGTCGACACTGCCATCAAGTCTGTTCTGGATGAGAACCCATCCTGGGAAAACAGACTGCCACCTTTACCAAAGGCCTTTAACATCAAAATTCCTTACACAGTAAACACACAATCACACTTAAAACTTAAATGGTGCAGGTCAGCGATTCACAAGGTGAGAGAAAATCATGGTGCGGTGACGGGGGCATCTGGATGCTAACGGTGAGGGCTAACCAAGCAGGTGTATTAAGACATTTCATGCTTGTGTAACAGATGGAAATAAGACAATTAAGAAAGTGATGCTTCCAGCAGCGCCTCATCTGGGGAGAGCCAGCAAGAGGCTTCAACTTGACGATAAGAGCCACAGGTCTTTTTAACATGATTATATTTTCACCTCCGTTCTGGGTGGTCTGATCACAGAAGACTTTGTACGGAGGGTAGGAGGCATCAGGCTGGATCAGGTACATCTGGGAGTCTTTTCCTCCACGACGGAAGATGTCCTCGCACTCCTTACCTGAATCACACAAGAGAAGACGTTTTTAGAATTAAGAGCTTTTTTGATTTCTAGCTTTACTGTGGTACTGCTGGGTTCTAAAGACTGACTGACTGCCAAGGTATCTACCGATCAGACCTCCATGATATTTGGTTTAGCCCCAGGTCAAAGGGTGGTCACACAGGGTAACCCCCAACCTATCACACATTTAAAGGACCCAGAGGATGAACCGTTGCTGCTTTGAGAATGACTAAGCCATCAGTATGTTGTTAGTTTCCTCCAACGTGTTCACAGGAACAGGGCCTGACTTACCAGACACCACCGGTATGGGACATTTGGTCTTGCATGGGTCCCTGCACTCATCTCTCTGGATCTGGATGGCCTTCTCCAGCCTCTGGATCTTCTGCCTGATCTTGTCTAGGACCCCCTGAAGCCACGACACATCTAAGTACATTACTATAGGAGTATTTGTAGTCGTTTCGTTAAAAAAAATAAAATACATTAAAAACATCAATCAATAAACATACTAATTAGAAGGAGTTGATGTGGCTGCGAGTACATTTATCTGACACATTCAAAATTTTAGATGACATTGACAAACGTGTCCTGTTTTTTGCACATGTCAGCAGTGACTCACGTGTAGCACCCTGATGGTGGAAGGGAAGAGCATGTCCACCGTGTCCTTGATGTAGGCGTGTTGTACCTCCACTTGATCAGTGTACACACCCACCACCCTGCTGTTGCCTGACAGGAGGAAGAGGGAAAAAGGGAAGGATAAAATTCTCTGTGCACATTTCCACACAAAGAAAATGATCAAGTATCCCTGACATTTTACTGAAGTAATATAACATCTGTGTGCATCTGAAGCTTTAATAAAAACAGCTCCCTGGTATCTGAACTGGGCTCCATACGCCCAGTCGGCCCATTCTCTAGTTCATACATGGCTATAACTGGTCTCACCGTCGATGACTGCCTGCCTCTCCCTCAGAGAGGTGGACATGCTGATGACGTAGTTGTAGATGCTGTTGGATGATCTGGACAGCTCATCCACCTGAGGCTTGAGTTCATTAATGCTCTGTGAGAAACAAATGCAAATCAGTGTAAAAGGAAATAGAGCACAGGTTGATCCCAGTGTTCTGTCAGCATCAAAATAACAATAAGGCAAGAAATCAAAGCCGGTTCCAGTCTGATCCGTGCTCCATTCAGCTCCTCTGACAAGCACTGCCCACTGTCCTGCTAATAAAACATTTAAATGAGCTCTCCTTCAGTGTAATCCAGTAAATCAGCTTCATTTACCGTCTTGACGGTCCTCTCTTGCTTCAGCAGTGTGGTCTTCAGGTCACAGCCAGTGGGACACAAAACACCCTGGTGGACAGAAACGTCTCAGATCAGTTTGTCTTTGGCTAAAACACAGTCAAACCTGGTCTCTTTATCCTCATGTTCTAACTTTGCCATCACTCAGAACAGTCAGTGTGTTTTTCTGTTTGCATGTAGATTTACTGGTGGTTCAGAATACTTTGTACTTTTCACAATAGCTCTGATCGATTTCTAAAACTGCCTTAAAGGCAGCGACTCATTTTACTTTATCTACCGTCAGCATCAAAATGAACTTGCAGAAACAAATGGACTGCTGATGGTTTTAACAGCATCCCAGACCAGCAGCCACCTGGAGGAAGGACTCCACAGACCTACGCTGTGCTGTTAAAAAGCAACAATGTAGCATCTGTGCTGTTGGAAGTTACTGAGCTAGCACATGTCAAAGCAGTGGCGGGGTTGTCCTACCATCTCCTCTGAGGCATGTGTGCATCCTCCGGCCTCCGGCTGCTCCCCCTTCTCCTGCAGGTGTGACCCTCCAACTGGAGCCATGGTGGGACGGCCACGATAGCTGGACAAAGAAGAAGAGACACTTCACTAACATGTCAGACACATGGAGGACACTGTCAGACCTCATCTTTAACCACACCAGAGGCGTCGTCGGTCCACAGTCCCATCTTAGTTAGACAAACTTAAGAGCATTCAAACATTTTTTACAACTACTTGGACGCCATGACACTTAGTCAGAACAACAAGGTCATAAAGACATCAATGTGTGAAAATCTCTCTTATATAAACCAAACTCCTGAGCATCTTTAAGCTTATATTTGGATTTTTATTTTGTAATTTTAAATATAGGTTCTAATGGCTTTCATCCTGTTTTCTTATTTGTTAACTCATGTTGTTTTAAACAGAAAAAAAGATTTTAAAACCCACTCCAATGACATTACACACAGAGAGGAGTGGAGTGAGGTATCAGGCCGCCACTCAAAGCTGACAGTGACCTGAAGGGCCTGCATCCTTTTCATAAACTCAAATATTACATTTGTATTGTAATATTAAAAACTATTAAAAACAGATTTACCAGAACCACCTTTACACATATCAGTTAGAATATCTATCCAGAATCGACAGATTTGATTTTTACTGGGAGTTTTTAGTTTGGCTCATGTCCCACCCACTAACATTTATGGCCTATGCTACAAACAGCCACAAGGGGGCGATCGATCCGCGGTGGCTTCACTTCCGGGAGCTGTCACGTCCTTCAGCTTGTCCAGTCTGACGACTGTACTTTTGACTTTGTCTGCTGGTGGAAGGTGACTACTACTCCAGTAAATCCAGTTGATTTGCGTATCATCAGTATGCGCACTGCATTTCACAGGCTGGACACTTTTCTCTAACAGATGTAGTTTTCCCACTAACTTTGAAGATTCAGACTTTAGAAACAGATCATATAACCAGATTCTCCACTAGCACATAGGCCTACAGTCATAAAATAAATTCAGGAGGCCTAGTTAGCTGCACCTTAACAGCTACAATGTTAAAACACCACTAGCACGAACTGGACAACAGAAGGAGCCCGTTGAGAACTTTTACTGCTGGTGGTGCATTTTATTTACTTAAAGAGGGGCTGTTATTTAAGGCTACTTATACCTAGGTAAAAGATCTTTATACGCTGCATGAGAAAACGATTTGTCAGTCTTCTACTTGCGTGAGCGTGGCTTACTTGCCGCCGCTGACAGGAGGTGGGACATAGCGGCTGGGGGTGTAGGTGTCCCGGGCCTTATCCAGCGGACGGTGACCACGAACGCCTTCCGCTACCTGGGAACCCAGAGGAGGCAAGAGGTGATGAGAGTAATAAAGAACAACATCCCAAATGAAATAAAATGAACCACAGCTGCTGTACGTACTGTTCCCTTCTCTGCTGGCAAGTCTGTGGTTTCCTGTGGGACACAACAGGATCTTCAGGATGTTTGAAGGTAAATGTAAAACACCTTGCCATTCAGTCTGATGCCAAGCTTTGGAATCTTAATTTTACTTTTAAATTTCACTAGGTCAACAGACTCCAGACTCACCGTGTCATCTTCATCGTCGTCCAGATTAATCTTAGCCCAGGCCACGTGCACGCACAGACACAGTAAAAGCAGCCTCTTCATTGTCCTCTGTCAAATATGTTACTTCTGTCAGACTCTCGTCCCTCGCTCCCTGTGTGCTTCTGCTCCTTAAACCCAATATGACACCTATTTATCCCCGTCTCTGTGCCAGTGGATGTCCTCCCCCACTCGTATTGATCAGCTCAGACCGGTCAATAACTGCAGGGGCAGTTTGCTCAACCTGAGTCACAGCCGAAAGGTTGATCTGGGTGAAAAGGGCAGAGTCTCCTGATCAGTCAGGATTTGTTGAACACACCATGTGTCAGCGGTTTCCAGTCACCCACATGGGCCAGAGCTTAAAACCTGGCAGGTGCTGAAAGACATCACATCCCCAAAGGGTCAAGAAACTAAGAAAAGTCATGTTGTTTTAAAAGCAAACTTTACTTTAAGTGAGTGGTTTTGAGTAGTTTTCATAAATCAAGTGTTTGCAGAGTAGCACTGTGTGTGAGGTGCCAGAGCTGCATAAGTTTGGGTCAGCTGCTTCTTGCCAGGGCTCCGTGGCTTCGTTGGAGCTCACATTGCCTGGTTTTTATCTGCTCAGACACCTTTTCTCTTTGCTACCTAAATGTTTACCATTTTAAAGGGTGACTCTAGTATTTTTGAGTAAATCTGACGACTTTGACACAACAATAAAAGGATCCAGTGTTTCTCAATCAGACTGGTTCCCGGCAGCGTGGAGAGGACTTCATCCCTTCCTCAGTCAGACTGTAGAGTCCTGGATTTACTGACAGTAGATGTGCACATATGTAGCTCACACCCAAACCAAACGGATCATTCGGTGCTTCCTGTTTGAAGAACAGCAGCTGAAACTGATGTGACCCGGCAGCACAAGCTGTGAAGTGGTTTCCTACGATACCAGGTCACCAAACCATCTGGAGGTTAATGCTGACCAGGGGTTTTTACTCATGACGGATTCTTTGGAGCTTTACACAATTATTATAACGTCCCCTTGTTATTAGAGTGACATTTGTCTGTGAACATGTTGTTTCTGAAAACAGAGTCCGTCGCTGTCGGGAAATGAGCACGATGAAGCAACTAGTCCGAGTCCACAAGGGCACGTTGTGAAACCACAGGCCTCAACACAAACATGAACAAACACACACTTGTTTTACTGTAGTAGTGTGGACATTTTATTCACTTATTGGCATCGATGCTTCTCTTTGACTCTACCAGGTGCTGGAACATTATCTTTTATGTTCATATTTTGTGTTTTATGCACGTCAAATAGTTTTACACCTATGTAGAAAAACCTTAATTTAATTCTTTTTGTGTCCAAAACCTTCTCTGCTTCATGTTTAGGTGCAGTATATTTTTATTGATATATTGTTGACCGTTTTATTCATATTCTACTTACACTGTTGCATTGTGTGGCATTCATGTGGACGGCAAAGTAAGAATTTCAGTGTACAGGGGAAACATCTTTCCTAACTGTGCATATGACAAATAAACACTTGACCATTGACTTCTTGGCAGCTAGCATGACTGCATTTTAATCAATGCTGAGGGAAATCAAAGAGAGAACACCACGTTTGTTCCACTGCTTGGCACAGACCAACAGCCAGGTCACATGGGTCGCAGTGGGAGGTGAACCACATCCGGAGTCGACACAAAACCTCTACAAGGTTTAACATTTATTGATTAAATGCAACAACAAGAAGGAAGAAAAGAAAAGGTTTTGATTGTTAGGTGCAGCGTGCGTTTGCTTTCGGTCGTCAGGCAAGAGCTGGGAATCTCTTGGAGCAAATGAAAGGAAGAGTCTCGTTGCAGGGGGTGTGGTACCACTTCAGTTCAACTGCAAACAAAAGAGAAAGAAACTTGTCAAGCTGTAAATCAGACCCCTCACAGTGGAGGGAGCTCTGGCCTGATGTCTGTCACTGGTAGAAATCTTCTGCTTCCAGTGTGGAAAGAGTAAAACCTTTCGAATGTTTGCATGCAAACACGTGCATTTATGTGCATGGCTCGTTTATTACCTTCAAAATTGATCTTCAGACAGTTGGCGTCGCCCTCGTCACTGCCCTCGTCACTGTTGTGTTCGTAGCAGTTGTTATACTGAAACTCTGAGCCGTCGGTCCACATCCAGTGCCCGTGCTAAAGATAGATACACAAACACAATGTGCTGCAGGACTGACAACTGGTTTTACAACGAAGCTAAACAGAAATGAGCCAATCAGTTGCTGTCTGTCATGGTTTATGATGCGCTCTGTTATTTGGTCCTAGTATCCAACTGCAGCCCCAAAGCTGTTTAATATGATCAGTGGTATCTGAGTAAGCATGCAGCTCTTCTGTAGCCGTATATCACTGACCACAACAGAACAATAGCCTGAAATATCTGTCATAACGGTTTGATACACTAAATTTCAGAAATGTCAGTAACGTGCTACTGTTTATGATCAGTGTAGAAATTAAATTCTCAAATATCGATGTCAGATCGATACCATATCGGTTTCTAGTTCACAGCAGAACTGGGAGGACATCTGCTGATTGCAGAAACAAAATCGACAAGATTTTCATACATGAACGGCATCAGAGCCTCCGATCCAGGACTGGGGGAAGGTCTCAGTGTCTCCTCTGGTCAAAGACGTGATGAAGCGATTCTCCTCGTAACTGTGGACTGAGGCCAGGTTGCCCCTGTCAAACTGACAGTAAATCTGGGGGGAACAAGAGAAAGAGTTCAGAGGATGCGAGCTGCTCTGTCACAGCACTCGGACACCGAGCGTGTAGATGTTTGATGTTTCTGTCCTTGTCCTTTCGTCAGTCCCCACCTCAGCCTCAATCCAGGTCTTTGGGGTTTCGATGAAGATGAAGCACCTGTCTCTGAAGCGGGTCCAGCCGGCGGGGCAGGGGAGTAGTTCACCTACAGAACATGTGTTGGATGTAGTTTAGTGACCTGCGAGTAGCACAGCTGACAGTTTCATCACCACTTTGACTCGCGTTATGTCGGTGCAATGATGTGCAGAAGGTTTGAGCCCAGTTCAGCTGCTTTTGTTAATTCAAAGGCTTCAAAGCAACAACTTGTGTTTAGACTGTAGCTGTGTAGAAACAACCAACGCCTGTGGTTCACGTCGTGGTCGCACTGATGTTTACTACAGCGTGATTCTTGTTATCAGAGGGAACCAAACTGCATTTAAACTCCACTAAAGTGTAAATGACCTTGTCCGGTAACGGGGTTACCGACGAGCTGGTGTTAAACGGTTATTGTTCTAACCCCCACCACGTCAGTGGCTGAGGTTTAAAACTATTTATATGCTTTTAACACAATAAAAACATTTAACAACGACCTCAGTCAATATTAGATCACAAAATTCAGCAGTATTCTACAATGCAAAGAAACAGACACAGTATGATTGAAGTACATAGAGGGATGAAGTATTACAAGCTTTTCACTGGCAGTAAAACTAGTAAAACTAGTAAAACTAGTGGGCCTGTGCTATAAAAAGTACTTCATTGCAACCCAAAGTCCTAACTCTTAAGTATACTTTCAAGTAAAAATACAAAATTACAAGAAGTAAAATGTAGTTTTGCGTGTCAAAAACAAAATGTATGACTGGATTATTATTATTACTGAGGCATTAAGAGGGAGTGCGAAATACGGTGGAGTACAACATGGACACATTCAAGTATAAGTACTGCAAAACTGTAAATGCTTGTACTTGGTTCCAAATGTGTCAGAGAGTCATGGTTGTCGGACTTGTGCTCGCCAAACTCCTGCTTGCTGGACTCCTGCTCGCTGGACTTGTGCTCATGGGGCCCGTGCTCGTGGGAGTCGTGCTCGCGGGACTCGTGCTTGCTGGACTCCTGCTCGCTGGACTTGTGCTCATGGGAGTCATTCTCATGCTCGCGTAACTTGTGCTCGTGGGACTCCTGCTCACTGGACTCGTGCTTGTGAGACTCATGCTCGCCGGACTCCTGCTCACTGGACTCCTGCTTGTGGGAGTCGTGCTCGTGCTCGCCAGACTCCTGCTCGTTGGACTCCTGCTCACTGGACTTGTGCTTGTGGGGCCCATGCTCATGGGAGTTGTGCTCACTGGACTCGTGCTTGTGAGACTCATGCTCGCTGGACTTGTGCTCATGGGAGTCATTCTCATGCTCGCGGGACTCCTGCTCACTGGACTCGTGCTTGTGAGACTCATGCTCGCCGGACTCCTGCTCGCTGGACTCCTGCTCACGGGACTCGTTCTTGAGGGACTCCTGTTCCTGGGACTCGTTCTTGAGGGACTCCTGCTCCTGGGCCTTGTGCTCGAGGGCAGAGGAGTTGTAGGGCATGCTTCGGCTCAGGGCCACCAGGGCACAGAGAGCAAGAGTCACACCGAGAACCTTCATGGTGATGATGATGATGATGATGATGAAGAGGCAGCTAGACCTGTCAAAACACAGGAGCAAAGAAACCAACACCTGTTTGACACATACAAGATGACACAAAGAGCACTTTATTAGGAACACCTGCTCAGCTGAATGCACTCACATACAACATCGGTTTCATATTTCAGTTTTGGTGAAATCGTCAGTAATGTTTAAATCCACTTCTAGGTTTGGAACTGACGTCACAGGTAAAGGTGCTGCTGCACCGTTTGTCTTCCCCGTTTTCATATGAGCAGCTCAAAATATTGTTGGTAACACGTCTAAACACAACACAGGAGGTTCACAGGAGTTTCACTTAGGGGCCGTGAGCAAATTCTCTGTCTTCTACCACTGGTCAGAGATCCGGTCTATAACCGAGCTAGCAGTTTTTAAGTCTACTTTAAAAACTCACCTTTTTAAACAGGCTTTTGGTGTTTAATCCGTTTTATCTGCCAATGGTTAATTTGTTCTTCTGTATTATTTTATTTTGATGAATCTTTTATTGCTAGGATTTTGTACCCTGTGTTTGGTATTGATTGTTTTTAGTATTTGTTAGTTGATATACATGTTCCACTGTGCAGCACTTTGTGCTCTTCGGAGTTGTAAAGTGCTTTATAAATAAAGTTTTTTATTATTATTATTATAAGGCAGGAGTCAGTTTGCAGACGCTGCCTCATCACCATATATTGACAGTGAA